CTTCATACGTCATATCTGCAGCAGAAAAGTCATTGCCATAGAGGCCATGACTCTCAACCTCTTTCAGATCAAGATGCTTATAATCACCATGTTTAGTGCTTCCACATGAATCTTGCCCTAGCCCACTTACACGGTCCTGGATCACACCACTTGAACGATCTTGTCGTCCATTAGCACATGTTTCATCTTTCAGCAATCTTTTATCTTTTAACCGTCTGTGGCAAAACCATCCAGATACTTGCTTTTCAGTCAAGCCTAACTCCTCAGCAAGTTCTGATTTCATTTCTTCTGTGGGATATTTGTGCTCTGGAAAGAAAAATCACAAGTTATTCTAAAGAGTTAGTACTTAGGAAGAAGCTTTTACACCCATATGACGAGAATTACTCCTACCATCATAAAATTTTTCCAGGGCCATCACCTGGGCCGGCGTTTTAAGCCTCCTTTTCTTATTTTTCTCCATAGAAACTTTATTCTCTTCCGATTGCAATTCACCTGATTCTAAAATTGACCAAAAAAAGAAAAAAAGTAAAAACGTGTCAGCGTGCATGTTACAATTACAAAGGAAGGGGTGATGGAATGGTTCCATAAGTCTATAAATGCAGTGAAATCACATGTATGTCTACGTACTCAAATCCTTAACAATGAGGAGAACATAAAAAGGGGGGCATATCAATCATACAGCATTTAATGACCTCCCATCTCAAAACTTATCACAGAGTGCAACATTAAGTTGTAAATGTACTAAAAATATGAGGTTCCTTTGTTTTAAATTTTTGACATAGTGATGGGACCCATTTAATGGTTCAATAATTTGGTCGCCAGTCAAACTAACTGACTATTCTTTAAATTGATTTAACCTATATATAGCAAACACAATATATTTAAAAACAATCACCAATAAAATAAATCTAAAACAGATGCGCACGCACATACACACTCTCAATATATTGTTAAAATAAAAGATAATTTTTCATTTTGGCCTGAGAATAGTCAGCTTACCTTTAGGCGATTACCAGTTAACCTGTTTTCCCTTGTTTGGAATCGCATTTTCTTGTGCAATTTTTCACTTACAAGAAATCACTGGAACTATCCAAACCCTCTTAGATGGAAGAAAACCAACAAAAATTCTTTTCCGCAGGTACAAACATAGAACACCATTCAATGTTATTATGACAGCTAATTTCGCAAGAATTACCGGTACTTCCCTCTCTCTTTCTTTCTCTCTCTTTCTTAGGGCAAAAGTGCATGACTCACCTGATAAAGTAGATCTAAGTGCAGGCAACAATTTATGATCATCGACAAGGAAAACAGAAATTAAACCAAATTGGCGTAAAAGAAAAGAAAAATGTAGGACAGCAAAACGTATGAAGATATTGATAATTAAACTTTCTTCACTAAGGTGGCAAAATTCATGACTAAAATTCAAACCCCAGTATTTCTTCAGGTTAATTCACTTTCCCGAAATGAAACACCAAAATTGAAGTCCTAGGTGCTCTATACACCTTCAAAACAACTTCTATAAGAACGGAAAGCGCAAAAAATTCATATTAGCGAATCCAATCAGGCCATTCAGTGCACGACAATACAAGCAATCAGACAAAATCAACCAAGATCTAAAGGACCCAAACACAAAAAACGACCAAGGCACGGTGAGAGAATAGAATACCTTCCATGACTGTCATAAATTATGGAAAACCTCCTCTTCTCCGCAAGTTACCGGGGAAAAATAGAGATTTGTTCACTTGCTTCTCAGAAAAGCGAGACCCATCACACCAAATGCAGAACAGGGTGATACGAAATGTCTATACAATTCAATTCACGTCAAATACAATCCCCAATTCATCATAGGAAGAGACGAAGAAGGAACTTCTCGTGAAAGCCGGGACCCAAGGGAGGAAGAAATCGCCCCTGTTCTCATTTGCTTGTTTTGAACAACTTTCACAGTTTGTGTTTTGTTTCATTTAATTGGATGACTTATCAAGTCTGTCTCTATTTTTTTATCCTGTTTCCCAGTTTTGCACTCCATTTTTAAATCCCCAGAATGAAAGAAAAATACCCATGTTTATTAATAGATCAAGGAATGAGGCAAATAAATAAATAAAATTTAATTTTAAATTTGGACATAACCTACGAGGATCGTGCAGCTTGTCATGTGAAAATTTTGTTTCAGACAAGAGCATGCTATGAATCCTATTGGTCTTCTGGTCCAAAAAAAGAAAAAGAATCCTATTGGTCGTTTGGTTTTATGTTTTCAGAAAAAAACTATGCTTAAAAATTAAATTTATCAATCTTTATTTTTTCGCCCGTAAAATTTATAAATCTAGCCGCTAGTCTTTCTCTGTAAAAGCTCAAAAAGAATAAACATCAAATTGCCATTGTGTTAAACTAGGAATTGGATTTTCTCCACTACCCTTCTCATCCTCTTTCCCTCCACTACTCTTCTTTTCTCTTCACAACCATTGGATCAAAACTCCAATAATCCAAATTTAATATTTTATAACATTTTATAAAAATAAATAATGATAAAAAATAAATAAATAAATTTAAACGGTTAAAATGTAATCTGAACAGTTCATAACTACGGACTGTTATTATAGAGCAAATTTTTTTTTCAATTTTTTTATTACAATTGTGAACTATTCAGACCATATTTTAACAATTTAATTTTTTTTTTAATAACATTATTTTTATAAGATGTTAAATCTAGACCATTGGAATTTTGATCTAATAGTTGTAAAGAGAAAAGGAGGGTAGTGGAGGGAAAGAGGATAGGAAGGATAGTGGAGAGAATCCATAAATAAATTTATTATGTAACTTAATACAAAGGCGTTTGCTAGAAGTGACAAGTTATCAAAAAGTGACACCTCTTTCTCTTTTCAAATATGATAAAAGGGCATTTCAATAATTTAACTATATTTGCAAAATACATATCAAGCTTCTAGCATCATTTTTTTTTTGGGATTTTGAAAAGTTAAATATCTAATTTGGAATTTTACAATTTTTAACTTCTTTATGTGTCGTTTTTTCTAAATTATTTAATAATCATTTTTTAATTTCATTCTTATTTTTTGTTGGAAAGAAAAATAAAAGAGAGAAAGGCGAAAATAATTTGTAAATTAAAAAACCACTTATAGATGCTTTACGTCCAATCATTCCTGATAGCACTTGCATCCTCTTCCTTAACGCAGATTAACAGTTCGTAGCCCTTCTACCTCCACACGGAACATTAGGCTTTCGTCAAAGAGAGGAAACTTTAATAAAAATAAATCTAAAACATTTTATCAATTTAATATTCCTCTAATCTTTAAGATAGAATCTAATTATTAAATTAATCTTAATCATAAATATAAGATTCATTTTTTATATTTATTAATTTTTTTCTAAACAACTCTTATTGATATTCCTCAACCGTAATCAAGTAGAAGGGAATGAAGATATTAAAAAAAAATAATTATGTTATTTTAGAAAAAACATATCATATTCTTTTATAATTAATTGACTTACCAAACTTTCTTAGACTAATCAAATTAGTTAGATATGTCTTACAGTAAAGAATGAAATAGTATATTTTTGAATATGTAAGAATAAGTTAAAAGTGGCTTATACTATCTAGTATCATATGAAAGAGTCTCTAGCTTTCAGATTGTGCTTATGGTGTTTATGTTAGGTCCAATAAGATGTGATAATATGAGTTAAGTTTATAGGTTTAACCGACCAACCCTATCAAAAAATGGAGAGTTGAGTTGGCAAAATACAGGCTCGTTTTGAATTAGATTCTTTTACACCACACATGCCAACCCACAACTGTGTGACGAGCTAGCCCATCAACTAGTCAACTTTTTTTTCTTATTTTATTTTGTTTTAAAGTTTTTATTTTTATTTCAATATGAAAGAAATTAATCATTTTCATCCAATTTAAATATATCCTTGTATTTTGTTAGAAATTTTGATTCCAAAATTGATCTCTTAATTTTTTTTATTGTTCTATCATTTTTATATGGCAAAATTTCAAAAAAGGAATTCTAAAATTATCATTTTCAAATTCAAACACCTAAGAGTTGAAAATGACAGAGAAAGAAATGATGCCTAATATGATATGTGACAAATATAGTTAAATGGCTAAAATGCTTTTGTATTATATTTGAAAATAACTATTAATTTATCATTGTTAGCATATTTTTTGTTATTAACTGTTTAACACTTGTTATTGCTAGTTTATAACTCATTAATGAATAACTTTTTATTATTAATACATTTCTTGTCATTGCCAATCCAAAACTTGTTAATAAACTTTTTGAAATCAAAATTTTTTTGGTCATTTAACTATATTTGTAAAATGATAAATCATGTTCCATTTCCTTCTCTGTTATTTTCAATTTTTAAATGTCTGATATGAAATATTATATTTTTTTCAGTTTCTTTACTTGTCATTTTTTTCTTTTATATTAATACAATGTGTTTTAAATTTTTTTAATTTTTTATCTTAATTTAATTATATAGTTGTATGAAAATATAAAAATAATTAGAATTTAGTTTATAAAAATTTGTAATTTAATTTTAAATTTTAAATATGTATTATATATGAATTAAAAACACATGGGCTTGCAGGCTAACTGGCCAACTCATGTTTGACGGGCTGAGTTGCTTGAATCGGAGTAAGTGAGGAGCCTTTTCAGCTTGACCCACATAGGTTGTAATTCGATCCTTTTTAGCTAAACCCAAATGCGTTGCAACCCGAGCCCATATTAGCAGCTTATCGCCTTATCGAACATTTGGATTACCTTTTCAGAGGTCATTTTAAGGTGGAGTTCGAGCAGCAAAAATTATTTTCACGGCAAAATCACGGGATGACTGAGAATTCGAGAATTTTATTTGTCGGGTTAACGGCCGGGCGTTGTCATCCTTTCCCTCTGCGACATTCCTTAAATGGGTACCCCATCGCCGGCGATAAGCTGTGCAGTATCGGCGTCTCGCCATTGCGCGATTAGGAAGTCGCCGGAATGCTTGCTATAATGGTTAGTGCAATTTTTGTGCTTACTTCTTGAGAGCCTTTGGCTCATCCCTGGAGGTTTTCCGTTTTCCGTTTTCCGTAGCGTTCGGCAAGTTTGCTTCCGCTTTCTTATTTTTAATATATTGCATCGTTCGCTGCGGAGAAAGTAAACTTGTATACTCTCTTCAAATGGCGAGACTTTGCATTTTTCTTCATAAATTTGTTTTCGGTATTGTTACTGCCTGCACAAAGCCTCGTCTTTATGGCCATCCCTTCATTGCGTGTCGCTTCTGCTATTTCGCCTCTGTTACGGACCCTAGCAGTAGCCCGGGTTTCCTCGAACCCGCGAGTCATCGAGAAATTTCGACGAAGAATCAGTTTTTTCAAGTTCTCTTCCTGATGCGTTTTTGGTGGAAAAGGTTTTCTTGAGCCTGAGGCAAGGAACTCTCAATTCACTGAGCAATTACTTTTCCCGTTCTTCAGACCCATCAGTTGTGGTTGAAGTTCTTTATCGATGTCGCGACAACTTGGGTCTGGGTCAGAAGTTTGTCGATACAATTATGGTAAATTGTCCCAACTTTAAGCACTCATCCCTCTCGTTGAGTGCAATGATTCACATTTTGGTGCGTTGTAGGAAGCTGCCAGAAGCGCAGGCTTTGATTCTTAGAATGATAAGAAGGAGTGGTGCTTCACGTGTTGATATTGTTGAGTCCTTGGTTTCAACGTATGTCAACTGTGGTTCCAATTCTTTTGTTTTTGATTTGTTGATAAGGACTTTTGTCCAGGCGAGGAAATTAAGAGAAGGGGGTGAGGCATTTCGTTTGTTGAGAAGTAAGGGAATTTGCATTTCTATAAATGCTTGTAATGCTCTTCTTGGTGCTCTTGTGAACGTTGGTTGGATGGATTTGGCATGGAATATTTATGAAGATATTGTGAGAAGTGGGACACAGATGAATGTATATACTCTAAATATTATGGTTAATGCTTTGTGCAAAGATTGCAGAATGGACGAAGTTAAACTTTTCTTGACAAACATAGAGGATAAGGGGCTTTTTCCGGACACTGTAACATACAATACTCTAATCAGTGCACATTGTCGTGAGGGGCTTGTAGAAGAGGCCTTTGAATTAATGAACTCAATGAAGCTTAAGGGGTTGAAACCTGGCCTTTTTACTTATAATGCCATTATCAATGGCTTATGTAAGAATGGAAACTATGCGAGAGCAAAGGAACTTTTCTATGAGATGTTGAAGATGGGATTGACTCCTGATACTGCCACTTTTAATACATTGCTTACCGAAAGTTGTAAAAAGAATAATATTTGTGAAGCTGAAAAGATTTTTAAGGAAATGTCACATCATGGAGTTGTTCCAGATTTATTTAGCTTTAGCTCACTTATAGGATGGTTCTCCAGGAATGGATACTTTGACCAGGCCTTAGTGTATTTTAAGCAAATGAAGGATGTTGGGTTGGTTCCTGACACTGTTATATATACTATTCTTATAGACGGGTATTGTAGAAATGCCAAAATGTCTGAGGCTCTGAAGATGCGAAATGAGATGGCAGAGCAGGGCTGTCTTATGGATGTGGTTACATACAATGCTATATTGAATGGATTGTGTAGGGAAAATATGCTTGTTGATGCTGATAAGCTATATAAGGAGATGGTGGAAAGGGGGATTTTTCCTGATTTTTTCACCCTCACCACTCTCATTCATGGCTATTGTAAAAATGGGAACATGTCAAGAGCGGTTAATTTGTTTGAGACTATGACCCAAAGGAACCTTAAGCCTGATGCTGTGACATATAATACACTGATGGACGGCTTCTGCAAAATAGGTGAAATGGAAAAAGCAAAGGAGTTGTGGCATGACATGATATGCAGAGAAATTTTGCCTAACCACATATCTTTTAGCATTTTGATAAATGGATACAGCAGTTTAGGTCTTGTGTCTGAAGCATTTAGGCTGTGGGATGAAATGGTAGAGAAGGGTATAAAACCCACCCTGGTTAATTGCAACACCATTATAAAAGGCTATTGTCGGTCTGGTAATGTGTCAAAGGCAAGTGAATTTTTGAACAAGATGATTTTGGAAGGTGTTTTACCTGACTGTATCACATACAATACTCTAATAAATGGCTTTTTAAGGGAAGATAATTTGGACAAAGCTTTCATTTTCATTAATGGCATGGAAAAACAAGGGATACTGCCTGATGTTATCACATACAATGCAATTCTTAGTGGATATTGCAGGCAAGGCAAAATGCAAGCGGCTGAGATGCTTTTGCGTAAGATGATTGACAAAGGTGTCAATCCTAACAGATCAACGTACACAGCATTGATAAATGGGCATGTCTCTCAGAACAACCTGAAAGAGGCATTCCGCTTCCATGAAGAGATGCTGCAAAGAGGATTTGTTCCGGATGACAAATTCTAAGCTCTTTGTGGTAGCAGCTATTCAGACATTTTAGCATCTTGTTTTACATCCCATATATGGAGGTTGGACATTTGTCATGTAGCATCCTAGGCCTTGATTTTGTAGGCTTGTGATGATTCAATTACTCATGTAACTTTGTAATATGTCAGGTCTAAAAATGACCAGAGAATATTACCGAGGGAAGGAGAATTGGACTTTGCCCAATATAGAGAAAGGAGAATGAGATGCAGTGGTGGACTATGCTGTGGCATCACGAAGGAAGTAAGGCCATTTCTAACTTATTTATTGAAGGCAAAGGTTTGGCCATTCATGTCTAGTGTTTACCTTCTGGTTAGGTGTGAGGTGGACGTTGGGTAATAATTGAAAGTAACCTAGATGCCTAAATGTTACTATTAAATCTATAGAAAGATGTATTCTTTGCGCATCTAGAAATGTGTGAGTTGGGCTTTTGAAATATTTTTTTTCTTTTGTTTTTTGGGTTGGGGCGGGGGGGAGTTTAAAAAGATGAATTCTGAGCACATTCTAGAAGCAGTCCTTTTGAATTCTGCCAGTATAAAGAATGAAGTTAGCGGATAAGTTCATTTGTAAATTAGGGGGGAAATCTGAGCAAGTAATTGAAAAATATATATGAAATCACTCGGGAAAACTGATTATTTGGAGAGGAAGTAGAAGTTCAGACGATTGAATGAATTGAGGAGTAACTTGTGAATTTAAACATTAAACTTAAACATACCAGAACACATATTAATATTTATTTATCTATTGAGCTTGTTTAAATGGTTTTGTCTTTAATGTTTCTAATTTTGACTTCACATATTAAAGGATCTTGAATTTCAAGTTTGGTGAAAGGTAAAAAAAAGAAAAGAATTGAATATTTGTTAGTTGAGTGAACTTTTATGTATATGGTTTGGTACAATGCATCTTAGATATTATTCTCATTTTTTGGTTACAATTTTGCGTGTTGATGCATGTTTCCTTGCTCATGCCTTTGCGCCACTTGTACTCTTTTAACAACTATGATTTGCGCACTAAGATCATTTTAATGCATCTTTCTTTCTGTTGAGTGGATCAGAAATATTCTGTGATTTCTGCAGTCATCTTCTATTTCCTTGGGATTTACTTCTGTATCAATTGTGATGTGGTAGGCTCTGGCAGCTCTCTTTGCAACTTTTTCCTTTTTTTCTTTCAATGTACGCCAGCCACTAAATCACCGATATGCACCACTTCATCCAATTTCATTGCAGCAAGGAATGGGGTTGGTTTCTTTCCTCTTCTTCTCTAGGAATGGAATTGAACCCAGAAAAAATTACTTTGGTGTAATAAGCTTGAACACAAAAGAGATCAGTAGCCCATATAACTGTATAAAATATTGCAGCTGATGACAGAAAACACTTATTTTCCTCCCTTTTATATTGCTTACCAAGCACGATCCTTCTTTGACAGGGCTTTTGGGTTGTGGGTTTGAAGATCGAAGCCCTCAAGAAGTTTGAGTGCTTTTTGGGCTCTCAATCATAGCCTGCTCACTAATCGTGAGTTGAAGGTGGGGTGCTACAAATAGCTGCGCTAGGTGTGTGAAAAATGACAATACCCTTTTGGTCAGCGATGCTTTGAATCATTTAGAGATAAAGAAAGGAGAGAGGCGCCGGAGGGAGAGAAGATTGATGAGTGGGTAAAAAAAATTGCCACGTGGAATTTGGTGCCACAAAGGCGTTGAATGGAGTGGAGCTAACATATCGGACTGAAGGACAACTCGACAATGTGAAGAAAGTTAATTATGGCAATTTTCTTAATAAATGTTATAGGACCATGTTGAAATTATGAATGTTTTAGGGATAAAATTGGTAAGTTAACTTCTGGATCATGTCATATATGGGTTTTTTTATATCAAAATCTCCTACATCAATGGATAAGGTCTGGTCATTTGTTTGATAAGGAGTAGTCTATTTCCATCTCCATAAAAAAGACCCTAGTTTACTCTTTACATAACCCAACCCTTTTTTCTCTTCCTCTGTTCTTGTTCTGCATCGTTGTATTTGAAACGGTTGTAGCGCAAGGCCCTGTGTTGAAAGAGTGGAAACAAGTATATAGAAACGCAACTAACTGAATTATAATAATGGGAAAATATTTTAATTTATGTCTTGAAATTATTTTCGGTTCTCACTTCTCAATTATTATTTTTCAGATGAAATAAAATTAAGGAAAAGAGGGAATACATGAGACGATGAAGTGGTGTCATCCTGAAGATAAAGTTGGGGGATGAAATGTTAGAAAAAGGGATATCAGATATGACATCTAAGGCTATGAGGCTGGTTTTAGCAGGATGTTCATTCATCAAATGAGGAGCAGAGTATACCACTTCCCTTACACCACTTCCCTCGGTTTGTCTCAGTGGACGTGTTGAGGTACTTGCAATCTTTAAAATTCCATGTTTGATTTCACTGTTCACAGTTTTTTTTGTTTTTGTTTTTAAAGGACAAGAAAAATTGAAACACTTTTCAGGTGTTGAAGAAATTGATGTTGCCAGGAGCTAATGTTGTGTTCTACTCCTTCGATCCTAAATGTGAGATTTATTTTGCAACAGCCATAAATGAATAATCAAATTAACAATGCTAATGCTCAGTCATGAGCGAGACTCCAGTGGATGAAGCAGTGAGGAGGAGAAAGCTACAAGTGATGGATGCTATTAACGAAGCGGCAACACATGCTATACTTACTGGAACCGGGGTTTTTGCATAAGAAACTTATTATAATTAGCTTGTTTCTGGAAACTTAGTTGTTTTTCGACAATATTTAATTGATCATGTTTATGATATGTGTGCCTTTATTTTTACGCCTCTTTCGTGATGATGATCTTATTCCTGCATCAGGGCTTCTAAGTTCTAAATCTAAAGAATGAATTCTGTTTTTTAAAAAATTATGAAATTGAAGGACTTGCCATATTATTTCACAAATGTTTGTTCTTTTTTATTTTTTTAAGCGTAAGTATTTTCTTGTTGGAGAGAATCATATTTGAGATATTATTGACACTAAATGTGGGTATCTCTTTTAGTGAAGATTCGAACTTTAGTTTGGTAAATTGTGAAGAACTAGCTTGTTTTATTAGACCTAATTCCTATTGATTTATTTCACAAATGTTTTAAACCAAAGCAGTGCAACATTTTTGGGTTTACTTCCTCCAATTTCTATTATAAGGCAACAACTTTACTGAAATTAAAAATAAAAAAAAGATAGTTGAATTGTCAACCTTTTTTTCCCCTCAAAATAGAAGAATTTTTTAAATTTCACTTTTTTTTATTACATTGTCTTTTATACTTAATGATTTTAAATATGATTGACATTGAAAAAACTTAACTAACATTTCATCAAGTGATTCATAGTAAGAATCATTAATATCTTTGAGAGGATGTTTTGGAAAAAAGAATTAGGTTACACCCAAATAGCCTCCACATATGGAGCAATAGTTACTTGCAAGTTGCAGCCGTGAATCGGGGTTTTATTTGAAGTAGTGCTAGTCCTGCAAAACAAAACATTAAAAGCATTTTAGTTGTGTTTGAATTACAAACTCCTGTTTTAAATATAAGAACTAAATAAGATATTTACTTTAATTTAAGTAGAAGACCTCAATTTATTTTATTTCTCAAATTTATAATATTTTATCCAAAATATTTTTATTTATAGCATATACAAAGGGGCTCCTAATTAAAGAGTGGTTTTAATACATATAATTAAATATAAAATATATTTATTATAGATAACTAATTTAACTAATTTATTTACTATATGTAGATTAATATAAGATTTTGAATTAATTCACAATTCAAACACAAGAATGATGAGTGTTGCCGACTTGGGCATGTAAACTGTTAGAAGACCCAGTAAGGGAAGGAGAAAAATAAAAAGGAAAGAAGAAAACTTACAAATTGCGTTTGACCAAAAAAGACTGCAAATGGGCACGTGAAACATAAAAGAGAGCCAACCAAGAGAACACCAAATTGGCCTTTTAGTGACTCATCAAACTGAGATGCTTGACGCAGCCCCTTTTTGGTACTGACTGGCGTATGCCAATTTTATAAATATATATAAACACACACACTCCTCCGATATTTAATATGAGACTTAATTATGAGATTGATTTTGGTTCCAAATATAGGACATATTTCTTATATTTACCAATTCTTTCATAAATTACCCTATTAAATAATTAAATACCACAATAATATTTATTACTCGTTAATGATATACCTATATATTTTATAAAGTAAGTGAGTGCTTATTACTCATTAATGCCATACATACATCAATTCTATCATTTTATATTTTTAATAAAATAATTTAAAACATTTTTTTTAAATATCAGTTTTTTTAAAGAAGTTTTAACTGAAGGTATTTTGGGAAACATATGCCATATATATGATTATTATCTAACTTAACTAACTTTCTCAATTTAATTAAAATAGTTAAATAGGTCCTATATTAAGGACCAGAAGAGTATATACGTATATGTATGTATGTATAAACCATACCGGCAATAACAAGTCTTATCTTATTAAGCTGATTGTATGAATCACATGATATGCTGTTGTATTTTATCAACATCAAAGTCTTTAAATAAAGAGAGAATTATAATGAGGTCCTAAAGAAAAAAATGATCACTAAAAAATCCTAATAACAATCTAAACAACTTATAATAATAAATTTTAGAGTAAAAAATGATAATTTTTAAGACTTATTTTGTTTTTTTTTTTTCACCTCTTTGTAATTCTCTGGGACATTAAATGTTATCTCAGGTCTTTCCTTACAATAACATGCCTTTGATATCCTTAGATGTTTTAGACCACACACATGCGATACTGATGTATTTAATGAGTCCTTACAAATTCATTTTGCAGACCTTCTTTACCTAATTTTTCCATCAACCAAAGGTTATTCAACTTAGAGACCTAATGTGGCTATGAATGTGACTGGACGCGGGAAACACTCGGTCCTCTGGATTTGTAAAGGCTATCAGAAACGTACTGGATGGTACTTTTCTAAACACTATATTCTACATTCAAATGAGCTGTTTTTAGGGTATGCAAGTTTTGTTCCTCGTTAGAACCTCTAACAGTTTATTTATACATATTTAAATCACCCCTAACATTTTCTCCCATTTTCAGAAGTATTACAGGAGATTGACCTTTATCCAACGGGTCTATTTTTATTGCTACAAAGAATATATTTATTTCATAAAGTATAAAATTATTTAAAATAAGCTAAATTAAACACCTAAAGAAATCATAACTTCATAAGCAAATTTGTTTTCTCAGGTCAATTCCACGACCAGTTCATATATTAACTAATATGATGCCCATTGCTGTGGAGCAAAAACCTCCAACAAACTCTCCAAAAGTGGACTTTATAAAATATTGACTTTTTGTTGTTGTTAATACTTATGAACGTTATTAAATGAATTGGTTGGGCAGGTTCGGTGGATTTTTCTGGAGGGCTAATAAATTGCTATATGTGATCTTTCAAATCTCAGATCCCTCAGAACAAGTCAAACCAATTCAAAGTAAAAGACTCTCTACTTCAACCTTAGTTTAATAATTCTATACCCATCCTTATGATACGATGAACGTGCAGTTCTTAGTCATTTTTGAATTTGAACGTCAATAATCCAATCAAATTTCGACTAATCAACATGTAAATTATTTATTTTTCTCCTCTGATTTCTATAATATTATATTACAATTAAAAGACTCCCTCTCTCATTCTCAATGCTCCTTTGTTAGACCATTATCTATAAAATAAAAGTAAAAAGACTCCCTTTTGAAATAATTATTAAGTAAATTTGCTTGTAATTTTGGGCTATGCAGTAATCCTTTGAATTAGACCCTCCTGATATGCCTAATATAATATATTTGAACTGTGAGTACCTACCTTTCTTGCCAATTATATTAGTACCCAAAAAAAAAAAAAAACTCAAACTCCTTCATAATGCAACGTGGGATTAAATATTATAGTTATAAGTTATTTAAGAAAAAACTTGATCACAGGCACGTGCTTATATCACAAAATATTACTATATCTAACGCCAATAACGCATGGCTTCTTCTTTTAAATTGCTTGAGAACATAATTGATTCTTTCCAGATATGAATAGTTGAAATGTTTTATGAAATGGAGTACATATATTGGAATCTCTGGAAATTACTGGTCTGGTTTTCAATGTAAAGACTCATTTTGTAGTATAAATTATACTACAAAATCAGTTTTACATTTAGGACCAGAAGAGCATTGATATTTAATATACTTCACTTCTGTTTGTAAGAGTCTATCTATTGATATTTAATATAAAGTTTTAAACCAAATTTAATCAAATATTTATGACTATTTTTTAAAATATCCTTATTAATTTCTTTCACTACCATGCCATGATGGCAAGTTGCTAACCTTATTTGCAAATATAATTAATTAGGGATAATTATGAAAAGATGTAATTAAAAATTTTATACATTTAACTAATTTTAAATAATTAATTTTCTATGTTAGGAAAGTAATCAACAAAGTCCTATAAAAGGTCTTATAAAAAGGACATATATTTGTGTGATAAGCATAAAAAATATATAGGCTAGATCGATCACATTACGTTTTAGCCAAATAGATCCGAGATTGGTAAGTCAGGTTTTGTGAAAATAGTTCTTGCAATAGTTACTAAACACGTTAGATTAGGCTATAAGTTTTTTATAGACTGTTTAGCCCATTTTCACCCTATATTACCTCCAATCCAGAAATGCCAAGATTCAAAGCAGGTTGATTAATAAATTTGTACATCGTTTCTTATTTTGGTTGTGAGGTTTGACCATTTGATTTATATAATACTCAAATACATGCCACGCCCAACGTAACGTTATTTAAAAAGTAGAAAAATGGAAACAGGAGCTGGTTTTTAATTAGGTTCGAAGAGATAATTATAGATATATTTATACAAAGCAAGGTCAAAGCTTAAAGCTTTTATTTTTATAATTACGTTTATTAACATAGCTGGTCAAAGGATCAAGTGTTACCCAACGTATATGTAAGTGGATGAGTTGTTTTTTAGTAGATAGAGGTGCCGGTGCCGGTCCGTGGATAACATCGATCCTATATTTTATAATTAATATTGATTGATACTTATGATTCATATTTGTCTAAGGATAAAAAAAAAAAAAGTATATATTATATATATTTAGCAATAATGGAATACAACTCAAAATAAAAAATTAAGAACTCTTTGTTTGAACTTGAAAAGCAACTTAATTTTTTTTTACCGCATTTGATTAATTACTTTTCAGGAGGTATTTAGAATATATCTTCAAAACCATTATAAATGTAAAAAATTTTAATATTTTGATTATTTTTAAAAACTTAGAAAAATATTTTAAATTTCACAATACTAGTAGTTTTTTTATGAATAAATCATTTTTTTAAAAAATGGTTGAAACAAAAGGGGTGTTAATTTCAAGCATATATAATTATATTTTTAATCTCTCAAAATAGATTAATAGAAGACTATAAAATATTCAAATGATTATTTAGCAAGTCTATATTGTTATATATTTAATAAAAAGAATAAAAATCCATTAGCCCCCACATCACGAGGATATAACGGGCGAGAGGGAGCAAAATGTTCAAACCGCCATGGCTGACCAAAACCACCGACCCCAATGAAACCTTAAAACCGAAAACAAACCTTGACTTTATCAGAGTCAATCCATCCCCCCTTTTGTCTCACCGTCGACATTTCCATTTGTATATAACCTTCGCCTCCTCTCTTCTTTCTCTGCAATGATCCGGCTGAAGAAGAAGATTT